ATGCATATGCGTCATACTACACGAATTTCATTAATTTTGAAGACATACAGTTCATGCATCATGATTAGGCATACAATTATGTTTTGCCTTTTCAGGAAAAAGATCAATACAAAAGCGATTACTACCAACTATCGCAATTCTCTTCTAGATATAGTTTCAGATATGACCCAGATTTGGTGACGTTCTGATACTGCTTCCAGATTTCCTTCTAGATATAGTTTCAGATATGACCCAGAGATGGTGACGTTCTGATACTGCTTCCAGACATCCTTCTAGATATAGTTTCGGATATGATCCAGAAATGGTGACGTTCTGATGCTGCTTCCAGATATCCTTCTAGATATAGTTTCAGATATGATCCAGATATGGTGACGTTCTGATACTGCTTCCAGATTTCCTTCTAGATATAGTTTCGGATATGATCCAGAGATGGTGACGTTCTGATGCTGCTTCCAGATTTCCTTCTAGATATAGTTTCAGATATGACCCAGAGATGGTGACGTTCTGATACTGCTTCCAGATTTCCTTCTAGATATAGTTTCGGATATGACCCAGGCATGGCGACGTTCTGATACTGCTTCCAGAGTTTCTTTCTAGATATAGTTTCGGATATGACCCAGATATGGTGACGTTCTGATGCTGCTTCCAGATTTCCTTCTAGATATAGTTTCAGATATGACCCAGATATGGTGACGTTCTGATGCTGCTTCCAGATTTCCTTCTAGATATAGTTTCGGATATGATCCAGATATGGTGACGTTCTGATGCTGCTTCCAGATTTCCTTCTAGATATAGTTTCGGATATGATCCAGATATGGTGACGTTCTGATGCTGCTTCCAGATTTCCTTCTAGATATAGTTTCAGATATGACCCAGATTTGGTGACATTCTGATGCTGCTTCCAGATTTCCTTCTAGATATAGTTTCGGATATGATCCAGATATGGTGACGTTCTGATGATGCTTCCAGATTTCCTTCTAGATATAGTTTCGGATATGATCCAGATATGGTGACGTTCTGATGCTGCTTCCAGATTTCCTTCTAGATATAGTTTCGGATATGATCCAGATATGGTGACGTTCTGATGCTGCTTCCAGATTTCCTTCTAGATATAGTTTCGGATATGATCCAGATATGGTGACGTTCTGATGCTGCTTCCAGATTTCCTTCTAGATATAGTTTCGGATATGATCCAGATATGGTGACGTTCTGATGCTGCTTCCAGATTTCCTTCTAGATATAGTTTCGGATATGATCCAGATATGGTGACGTTCTGATGCTGCTTCCAGATTTCCTTCTAGATATAGTTTCAGATATGACCCAGATTTGGTGACATTCTGATGCTGCTTCCAGATTTCCTTCTAGATATAGTTTCGGATATGATCCAGATATGGTGACGTTCTGATGCTGCTTCCAGATTTCCTTCTAGATATAGTTTCGGATATGATCCAGATATGGTGACGTTCTGATGCTGCTTCCAGATTTCCTTCTAGATATAGTTTCGGATATGATCCAGATATGGTGACGTTCTGATGCTGCTTCCAGATTTCCTTCTAGATATAGTTTCGGATATGATCCAGATATGGTGACGTTCTGATGCTGCTTCCAGATTTCCTTCCAGATTTAGTTTCAGATATGACCCATATATGGTGACGTTCTAATGCTGCTTCCAGATCTCCTTCCAGATATAGTTTCATATGTAAACCAGATATGGCGACGTTCTGATACTTATTCCAGTTGAAGATATTTCAAGACCTAGACCGGTTCAGTTAAATCGACCCTAAGATTTTCCTGATGCTTATCCAGTCAAAGGCCTTCTCTGGTTCAGTCAGATCGACCCTAAGATCTCCCTGATGCTTATCCAGTTGAAGATATTCCAAGACCTAGACCGGTTCAGTCAAATCGACCCTAAGATTTTCCTGATTCTTATCCAGTCAAAAACCTTCTCTGGTTCAGTCAGATCGACCCTAAGATCTCCCTGATGCTTATCCAGTTGAAGATATTTCAAGACCTAGACCGGTTCAGTTAAATCGACCCTAAGATTTTCCTGATGCTTATCCATTCAAAGGCCTTCTCTGGTTCAGTCAGATCGACCCTAAGATCTCCCTGATGCTTATCCAGTTGAAGATAGTTCAAGACCTTGTCCGGTTCAGTTAAATCGACCCTAAGATTTTCCTGATGCTTATCCAGTCAGAGGCCTCTCTGGTTCAGTCAGATCGACCCTAAGATCTCCCTGATTCTTATCCCAGTAGAAGACATCTAAGATTTTTTCTCAACGAGCGTTGTTGAAGTTAAAGTCACCCAAGATCTTTTCTCAACGAGCGTTGTTGAAGTTAAAGTCGCCCAAGGTTCTCTTACCATTCATGCTAAGGTAGTAACCATCCCTGGTTCTTTCATCGCCGTTTGAAGCTCCAGACTCAGCTCCTGTAACCAGTCAGGACACATCTATACCAGGCATCTAAAAATCAGCTCCTGCAACGTGTCAGGTACTCATTTTCTGTTTTGCAGGTATACAGGTTCTCGCCAAGGAATTTCTTACGCAGTCAAACATCCAGATGGCATCTATAAGCCCATTCCACCATCACTGCCACTATGTGAGTGCAAATTTCTAGGCACTCTAGTGTCCAATCATCTTCTACCCTCGGATTACGAAAGGCACGTCCGCCAATCTGCATCCTCAGGTCTAAGAAGATTGAACAGGGGCAACTGTTGTACCCCAAAATTTTCCCTCCCATATTCTTCAAGAAATTGCCAAGCCAAGTCATAAAACTCCCCCAAGGGTTGCACGGTCCAACTGTCTCTTATACAGTCAAAACTAGGGTCTGTGTTCTGACCAAGAAAAGGTAGTTTTCAAAGGCCCAATCAAGTCTCACATGCTTACAAACATGGTCAAGCATCCTCATATCAAGTTTCAAGGCATTCAGCTCAAAATTGCACAGTCAAAACCCTAAATTGCACTACAGTCAACTGTAGGGGCAAAATGGTCATTTGACAGTCAAAAGTCCAAATTTTTGGTCAACATATCATTTTGAAGCCACAAACATAATTTGATCAATGCTTGATCATGATTCTCAAAATTTGGCTCAGAAAATCATCAAGATGCAAAAGTTTCCTTATTTGGACAGCTGAAAAAGTCAACTGAAATTGACCAGGGCATAACTTTCACATGGATTATCAGAAAAATTCCATCCAAAGCTCATTTTGAAGAGAAAGACATTTCCTACAACTCATCTTCATACTTCAAGTCCAAGAAATGCTCTCACAAAAAGTTATCAATTTCAACATTATAGGTCATTTTCAAAAGTCAACAAAAAGGGACTTTAAGTCAAAGACCATAACTTGAGATTGGAAAATCAAAATGACATGGGACCAAAGACATTGGTTAAAGGACTCAAATACCTTTCCAAAATGTCCAAGAACATGAGAAAAGCTTAAAAATTGAGCAAGTTATGCCTTGTAGAAGTTGGGAAATTTTTGTGAAATGGCAAAAGTCAACTATCCTTGAAACTTCAATTTTTGACAAAAGGGCCCACTTTCTTCCACTTGATTCAGCCTTGTCATGCCACACACGTGTCCCATGATTAATTTCAAGATCAAACATTGATTTTTCTATTTTATTTAATTTTTGATAATTTAATTCATTTTAAATCTTTAAAAATTCAAATAAAATTTAAAAGTCAATGGAATAGTGTCATTTGAATTTGGATAGCTTCCATATATCATGTGCCAGCTCACAAACTCATGCTAGGGTTAGATTGTACACCAAGTCTTGGTTTTGCTAAAAAAGGGGAAAGTTGGTTAATGGTGAAAAACCTAGGACTAGTTCTCTCATGGGCATGGATCAAGGCCAACTAATGACCTAATTCCCTTCCCTCATAAATGCTGAGTCAAAACCTAATGCCAACAGACTAAAAAGATGCGCTAGAGACCAATTTGAGAACTGGAAAAATTGCCATAAAACTCAAATTCTGAAAATCACTACTAGGGGTGGATTCAAGTCTTAATTCCTTTTCCAAAAGCTTCCTTGTGGTCTCCTGAACAGATTCCAACCCCTAACACCAACTCAAACGCAAGGAATTGGTAACAAGACCTTCGACTGTACAGCAAAAAACTCATAAACGCATATCATGTTCTAGGCACTTTTTATGCAATTTAATTGTTGATTCTTGTTCCTCATTTGATTTCAAAGCTAACTGACATGATTAATTTCGTTTTTATGCCATATATGTGATTTCACCATGATCAATCTTTAGGGTTTTCCAAGCTTGAATTTAGGGCTTCTGAAACCAAGCAAAATTAGCCCACGAAACCATGACCATTCAAATCAGCAAGCTTGGACGAAGAAGAATGAATGTTCGCGCTCAATTTATAGAGCCCTGAGGCACTACAAGAAAATTGGCAGATTGCGACAGGTATTTTTGTAGATTACGACGGTTAAAACCGTCGCAATTTGCTTTCCACGACGGTTGCTTTACCGTCGCAGAAGTGTGTGTCCCCAACCTATTTCGCGACGGTTACAAAAACTGTCGTTCAAGTTTACGACGGGTTGATACCGTCGTGACTATCTTTTGAGTTTCTTTTAATTATTGATGGCGACGGTTCGATACTGTCGTGAATATCTTTTGAAATTGATTAAATTGTTTATGGCGACGGTTCGATACCGTCATGACTTTTGTTGATTATTTTTAATTGTTGATTACGACGGTTCGCTACTGTCGCCATGACTTTTGTTTATGTCTTGACTTTTGTTTAAAGTTGGACCTATATCACGAAATATTTTTCTACATTATTTGTATATGTATAAGATCGAATTTAAATCCACTGATTTCTCTGCAAATTGCAGAAAACATATAAACATATAATGCATCTTTACTTTCTTTTCCACTTTGAGCTTTATAATTTGAAATATCCCATCTTTCTAAAAAAGAAAATGAGATAAGAATTACAACATAAATAACATGTTACAATTGCTTCAAGCAGAACCTCTTTAGATACACATACTATAAGAGACCAAAAGGCTCAGGCAGGTTCTCGAATCCATTATCAAATAATAAGGAGCCTTGATCAAATTTATCATCCACACTATGAAGCCAGTTTGTATTCTTCAAATCTTCTTTAAGCAACAGCGCGTCGTAACGAGAGCTCTCGTATACGTCAATTTCACTCAGTTTTGCTGAGTATTGTCTTTCATCTATCTCTCTTACTTTTATCATATTTCTATTGATTCCGTTTACCACGTCAAAATGGGATCCATTATTTTTGTTTAGTATGTTTCCGTTCGCTTCGATAGATGTTGGTGGAGCACTTGAACCTCGATTATATTGACTCTTGGGCGTGGAATTTCGAATACTTTGTGGAAACAGTGTGGTGCTTGATAGTGCACGATGATTTCCCGAGCCGTTCCTTATGTCCTGTTAAACAGAAAAGTGCGTGTAAATTGGGTTTGCGTGATAAAACAAACTTGCTTGGAGCATACATCTTCACAAAATAAGATTCGGCAACAAAATAGAGTATACAAACCATGTGCTTGATTGCCATATCCAAGGATTTCTTTGAGATATTCCTTCCAAATCCAGAGTTGTCAGTTGTGTTGGTTGAGGCTTTAACTGATCTTCTTGCAGCTACCTCAGGAGCATGTGAGACTTTTCTAGGTTCATGAACATCAGCATGATGGCCATTGCCATTGGCAAATCCACGACTTTTACTGACAGGTTCTGTTGATCTTCCTCTACTGACAATAGGAGACGAAGCTCGCCTTGGCATATTAACCGACGCTTGGGTTTCAGAAGTATTTCCTTTCAAAGTGTTAACACCCGGACGGGACCTACCTGCAGAGACAGGTCTATCGGGCAACGTTGTTCTGAGGTTTGGTGGTGTATCAAGGGGAAAATCGGGTGGAACAACAGGCTGTGGTGGGGCCCAGATTCGTGGACTTGGTGAGCTTGGCTGTGAGGATGGTGCTGAACTACGCCCGTTCAATGGAACACGTCCAGCTGAAGTTGAAGAACTTGTTGCAGAGGAAGGAGAAAGAGATGGTATTGAACTCCTACGTGTGGGAGTAGAAGGACGAGATAACGATCGAGTCGATGGTGCAGATGGGGAATGTAAGTTTGCAGGAACCTGAGGCCTAGAACTAGGAGTGGAAGGCCTCGAGCTTTGTGATATTGGTCTAGGCTTTTCAGCAGTAGAGCTTGTCGAAACTGTACGTATTCTGGAAGGTGTTGACGCCCTTGATGGTGTTGTGCGCGAAGTAGGAGTTGAAGGCCTTGTCGAAGATGTCGAACGGGGTATCGGGGAAGATGGTCTAATGTAAGATGAAACTGAGGCTGAGCTTGTGTTGAGGATATTTGTGGAGGAGGATTTGTTTGAAGAATAGTTGTTGTTGTACTGAGACTGTAAAGTGGAGATCGAAGGACGAGTCACTGAACTGCTTCTTGTTGGTCTAGAGTGATTGTTGCTCTCAGATTGTGAGACTGAAAGCTGAAACAAAACATGACTAAGAAGTTAAACATGATTAAAAACACCTGAAACATCATTTACAACAGGTCAATGTATTATGAATTAGTTCTCCAAGACTCAAGTAATCACTAAGCTCAAAGGTTACTAACTGGTGAAACCAACTTATGAAACAAAACATGTATACATTTTCATCGCTTTCGCCCTCACGAGTACAAATATTTAACCATGGACACCAGTATCATATACCAAAATTTTTGTAGAAAAAAAATAGATACATCTATAAGCTATGAGAGGACCACACATACCCTTGAGGCCTTAGTGGTAGAAGTCTATCCAAACATTCTTGTCCAAATCCGTAGTTACTAGTCTCACCAGCATCCTCATCTTCAGACACCGCGGCATGCCAAGCAGCATCATCCTCAATATCCAGCAACAAATTCATCAGCACATATAGAATTCAACATTAATCATAGGTAACTACAATCTCACCAATTGTTTCACTATTCTGTAGTACTGTTGCATTCGTTGCTGATGACACTGACATTATTTGCATCTTTTACTTCACCCTTCTTACTTTCAACAAGATCTTCAGCAGGGTGAATTCTTGCAACTTGCGGAAGCTCCCCGCTACTTGCGCTATATAGAGCCTCGCGGATTCTAGCATACAATGGATCCCCCAAGGCCTTGCTGAATTCTTCTTTATCTTGGCTCATCACAGATGCCACAACCTATAGTATTATCATAATAGATTAATTTCAAAAGATGATAGAAAACAGTACCAAATCGTAATGCAAGGATGCAAAGATGTTTCACTTTTATTTCGAGTGACCAAAATGAATATTCAAACGTAAAATAAGTTGTATGTCAAAGAAGTATAACTAAAAACGAACTGCAACCTTTTGATAAAGCCTGAAACCATTGCCAATGAGCTGCCTTGAAATAAAGTTTATCAAAGACGGAGGAACAAAATCAACCTTTACATCCATATTTGCTATTGTCCTACAAAATTTTAAGTATTGAATTAAGATTGCATACTAAAAATCATTTTCTTTGTGGTACCCTTCGATTTCAGTTAAACTATAATTGATATGCTGAAGTACACGTAAAACTCACCGAAAGTAGCTTCTTTCGGATGTACACTTTTGCAAAGCAAACCCTCCCACTAAATCAACTCTCACGACGTCCTTTGCTTCAGGAATTGCTTCCTCATTGAAACCATAAAGGGTCCCCGCGACACTCGAATCAGGAACCTGAGAGCAAGTTAAGCACAAATTTATTGAAAACTTCAATCTAGTCTACAATAAATATATTACATTTATTAAATATGGACCTCTTATATGGATCAGTATATGGTCCTCTTATATCAGTTTTATGCCTAAAACAACAAATTAGAAAACCTAAAAAATCATAAAAAGAAATAAAACCCTAAAATAACAAATTAGAAAACCTAACACCAATTCAATATATTCAAACTCAAAATCAATCATCACAAAGAGCTCAACCATAAGATTCAAGTGAATCTCCAATGCTGAAATCAATGGCAGAGAATGAGAGAGATGAGAACAATGCAAAAAGTGATACATAAAACTTACTGTGTTTGAAGAGATGAACGCAGAGGATGTAGTTTCCATTGCTGTGCGTTTTTTGGTGTGAAGATGAGCGATTTGAAGAGATTCCTTTCGGTGTCAAGGGGTTTCTTTCGGTGTGAAGAAGAACGGGTTTGAGTTTGCACTATAAATCATTATAATTAATTCATTTCTATTATAATGAGAATCATTTTTTCATTCAACTTTGTGCAAATGCATTTTTGTGGAATATTTTTAATCTCGAAAAGAAATAAAAGTGAAGAATAATGAACTCATAAATTTTCAATATTTTAATTTCTTTTAGTTCTAAGATCTTTTTTAGTACTAGACATTGGATAATATATTTTAGGGTTCATAATTTGTAAATCTAAATTTTAATTTCATGTTATATTTGAATGTGTTAATGATGGATATAAAATCAAATCTATATAAATCTCAAAAAAAAATTGTTTTACCGCGACAGGTGTTTTACCGTCGTGCCCATGAGAATTTTTAAAGGTTTTGGATGCGACGGTTGTTTTACCGTCGTGAAATGAATTTTAGGACGGATAATTTTACCGTCGTGAAAGGTTTAAGGGTGCGACGGGTGCTTTACCGTCGTGATATGCCTTTTAGGACGGTTAATTTTACCGTCGTGACTAGTTGTTGGTGAAAAATCAATGTTAAAAGTGTTAAATGGGGGCCGACGGTTGTTTTACCGTCGTAATAATAATATTATGATGGTTAAATATACCGTCGCAAAATAAATATTAGGGACGGTTGGTGTCAACTGTCGTAAACACTGTCTCTATATGTGAATTACGACAGTTATCACATAACTGTCGCAATTTTTGTGTCGTTAAACACTAATTTTCTTGTAGTGAGGCTTAATCGCTATTTTTCCAAAAGCCCCCTAAAACCACGCTTAAGAAACCGTTGCTTATGTTGTTTGTTTTTTCAGGGTGGTGGAGACGATGAAGCGTGGCAACATGTGATACGTTGTTTTTGAATTTCGCGCGCTTCAGTCACTAACGCATTGTTTGCTTTCATTATATTTGTTGTTTATTTAATTAACGAATGTGTGATAGTGGTGCAGCGGTATAGGTGTTAACTGGTAACCCTCATGACCTGGGTTCAAGTCCCAGGTCTTGCATAATTCCAATATTATTTTTCCAAACGTCTTCCTGTGCAATTTCAAAGGTGGAGCGCATGGTACACCACAATCATCAAGACGTCCACGTGCCTAAGAGGATCAATCAGAAAGCCATGTTTAGAGGTGTACCATAAGCCTCAGTCAAAGGTCCCATACGTGGCCTGGGAAAGTCAACAAATTCCAAAATCAATTGGGCTAGATTGCTGGGCCACACCTCCACTTTAGGGCCTGAACCCCCTGGTTTGCTTTCTCTATATTTTTCTTGTTTTATTTTTAATTCTTGTTTTATTTTCTTTATTTGTTTAAACTAATTATTATTTCTTTACAAATTATAAAATACACAAAAATCAGAAAAAGAGAACAATATAATATTTATTTTATTTTAGTTATTTTCATAAATAAATTGTATGTAAATTAACTTAGTATTAATTTAGGTTGCAACTTTAATTCTTTCTTCCATAAAAAAATCCAAAAATATAGCATTAGGTTAATGACTTTTTTATTCCTTTTAATTTTCCTTGTTTTTTGCCATAATATTAGTAATTTTCATAATTAAACTTGTAAACTAATTAGGGTTGCACTTAGGTTAGATTTTAATACTTTCTTAATAACTAAAAATCCAAAAATATAGCATTAGGTTTAATGACTTTTTATTCCTTTTAATTTTCCTTGTTTTTTGCCATAATATTAGTGATTTATTTATTTTCATAATTGAACTTGTAAACTAATTAGGGTTGCATTTAGGTTAAATTTTAATACTTTCATAATAAACTTAAAAATAATTAGAACTAGGTCTAACATTTCATTTTGGTTTTTTTAATTAATTCCTTTTTATTAAATCTCAAAAAAACACAAAAATACCAAAAAAACATTTTCTTTTAATTCTTAATTTTAATTCCTTATTAATAATATTTTGCAAAAGGGTCCAACACCCTCGTTCGTAATTTATTTTATTCGCACATTTGTTTTATTTCGCTTAATTCATTATGTATCTCTCCCGAAGCATTGTAACTTAAACTTCTCGCACTTTTATTTCTTTTGCTTTATTTACTTTCCGTCAAATCGGGTCCGGTTTAATTTTGGCGATGTGGACCCGCGCCATTTGTAATAGTCTTAGATTTACTTTTCCCGCAACTTTTAACTGTTAACAAAAGCATGAAAGAATGTATGGACTTAAAATAAAATCAAGCGTAGAACACCAATGAACATGACAAGACAAATATCAATGAAAACGATACACGAATCGCACACACCACCCCTAGGGTACGTCTCACTGTTGCCTTGCCTTTCGAAAGGTGATCGTCGAGTAGAGGATGTCTTAGTAAGTCCTCATGATCCGGGAACCTGGCATGAGGGTAGCTTCTAAGGTGTCTTCCCATTGCTCTGGTGATCACCATGTCCCTATAAACTCGAATTGACCCGAATACCTCCGACGGTGGTGCTACCTACCTCTCAATGGTGGGATGGCACTACTTTAAAGGACATTTACACAGACGAATTCCTTAGGGTAGGTAGGTTCTCAAGGATACTTGCTCTAATTTCAAACAAAAATACTTTTCACACCAACACACTTTCAAAAGCTTTCAAAGCAAATTTTTCAAACACTCTGACGTACGAGTCGAACTGAAATTTTTCAAAGAAACTTTTAAAACCCACAATTGAAAAGCAAGCAAACATTTTGAAAACACGTTGAGCAAGTATCTAAGAGCCCATGGATAACCATAGATAGAAAGGGTGCTAACACCTTCCCTTTCTATAACCTACCTCCCGAACCGAGAGCAATCTCTTTAAGGAATTTTTCTGTGCTTTTGTCCTTTCCATTTGGAGAAAATAAAAGACGGTGGCGACTCTTGCTTCCGCGACATTTCGCGAACCAACTTTAAAACAGTCAGTTCCAGATCCACCGATCACAGCTGCCTTTAGAGGAAATGGAGAGCATTAAGTGCTTTGCGTGTATCCTTGCAAAATTCCATTCTCCAAGAAACTAGTTGTAGGCACTTGAGTGCTTTCAGCCGTCTTTGCATTAATTAGCAAACGTCAGAATGTAAGAACGTGTTTCCTTTGCTTTGACAAGACAAGTTGATTTATACGTTGTTTCAGAATTTGCTTCCAAATGTCTTTAAGTCAGAACATGCTTCATTCAACTTCTGATCAGAGCGTTGTTTTCTAAGAACTTTGAACAGCGCTTGCTTTCACGTTATCTCCTGAATCAAGGAGCCTGCTAGAAGTTAGAAGATCCATTTAAAAAGTAAAGATTCTTACCAGAGTCAGCAGATGCGTTTGAATAAAAGGTTCTTTTATCAAAGAACTTCTTCATAATCTTTGCTTAGTACTTTAGAATGTTTTCTGTCAGAACATTAACTAAGACATTCAAAATACATTCATTAGAGCATAAATTATCTTAAATATAATTTAGTTATCATCAAAACTCTTTGAGATAGGTCAGAACTAATCTTGTTCTTTCAATCTCCCCCCTTTTTTATGATGACAAAAAATTATTTTAGATAAAGAAAAGAAACAGATTAAGAGATAAGAATCTCCCCCTGAAATGAATATTTCTATGCATAAGACATCCTGAGATTATTTAGTCAGAGTGATACACAACCTTCTTGAATTTCTTCAGAACTTCTTCAAGAAGATAAATCTTAGCTGGAATATTCTTTCAGAGTTAAATGATACCTGCAAAAAAAATCTTTTGCACAGAAGGAATTCTTGCAAATTTGTTAGAATGTCTGAGACATAGTCCCATAACTGTTAAATAGTGATTAGTTCAAAATGCACATTTTCTCCCCCTTTTTGGCATAATCAAAAAGTGTAATAAATGAGAAAATTTGAAAGATTTCATAAAAAAGTTAAAAATAGATATCCAGAAGTACAAACAAAACATCCAAATAAGAGACAAAAAGAAACTAGGATTTCTTAGAGACAAGAGCCATCAGAAGATTCTTGATTTCAGAGGCAGATTCACTTTGCATTGCCATCCAGTTCTTGAACTCTAGATTTGTTTGATCTTGCTTATCCATGCGTTTATTTAAGACTTCATTATCCCTCTTTAGCTCTTTCAGAGTGTCCATAATGAGTGAGGTAGGAGCAGAAGATGATGAAGCTTCAGTAGAAACAGGGTCAGAAGCAGCAACTGATGAGTCAGACTTCACAAAGGTGGAGAGCAGAGTGCCCAGATCCATTGCAAGAGTTGGCACAGGTTCAGGTCAATCCTTAACAAAAGGTTGATTCAATAGAACAATAGCCAGAGGATTTGAATCTTCAGAGGATTCTTCAGATTCATCTTCGGATATGTCCATCTTATCAGCTGGTGTATCAGCAATCAATAGCGAAGACTTCTTATTCCAAGTATCAGCAGCTTCTGTCTTGAAAGCATGCAGAAGCTTGGAAAAGTTGTCCAGCACTTGAGAGTGGCACAAATCCTGTAACTTCCGTGATTCAGCAACCAAAGTTCTTCTGAAAGTTTCCCATAGAAGATCTGTTGCTGTTGTGTTCACACTTCTGAGGCAATCTTCTTTCAGCGGTTGTAACCATGCTTGAACATTTGTTATAAAATTCTGAAACAAAGTATTTACATCTGGCTGAACAGGTTTACGGGCAGCCGTTCTGTAAGATTTGTTTTTCAAGAATTGTAGAGATTGAGAGTCCACTACAGTTCTTAAAAAGCTATTGGGTTCAGGATTATTTGTAGGTTCGAGTTTAGGTTGGTTAACACAAATAGGAGGTTCTGATATATCATGAGGTACGGATGGTTCAGCAATTTCAGTTTGTTCAAAAATTTGTTGTTCTGGAATTTGAGGAGTTGAGAGTGGTGATGTATGTTGTGGTGAAGTGGGTGGAGTGACATCAGGAGAAATTATTATTGTATAAGCGGGAGTGGGAATGGGATTTTGAGGTTGTGGTTGGTTCA